GAGGGCGAGTGGAAGTTCCTTTGCATTGCAGCTTGGGGGTGGAGGCGGGATAAAAAAGCAGTAAAAAGAGAGAGAGAGAGAGAGAGAGAGAGAGAGAGAGAGAGAGAGAGAGAGAGAGAGAGAAAGAGAGAGAGAGAGAGGAAGGAAGGCAAGGAAGGCAGGGAGCGAGGGAGAGTGGAAGGTCTTGTATTGCACCTTGGGGTGGAGACAGGATAAAAAAGCAGTACTACAACGTTCATTGATACTGACAATCCAATGTTTCCGTGTGTGTGTTCCATCCAGGGTGCTCGTCCAAAGAAATCCAAGGACAAGGGTAAAGACCACGAGGGTGATGACAAGCGAGCCAGCACATCCAAAGGGGCCAGTGCTGTGCCAACGAAGCGGAAAAAGGCAGATGGCGAGGATGGGGGCAAGAAGAAAGGGGTGAAGAAGAAAAAGGACCCAAATGCCCCGAAGAGGGCTCTGTCTGGGTACATGTTTTTCTGCAAGGAGGAACGAGAGGTAATGGCCCATGCCCAACATGTCAGGCTGTCTGTTATAGATTGCCCTTTAGTGATCCACAGTCTGGAAAAAAGTGGTACTCCTTAAGTTCCTTACTCTAGAAGCCCAAACCTGATGGCCATACAAAGCATTAGACAAATGAGTTTACGGGTTTACTTGGTTGACCAGCTCGGTCACTACCACACGCCTTCTGCTTCCTCCTCTCCTCCTCCTCCTCCTCCTCCTTCCCCTCCTCCATTACGCTTGTAATTCTTCTGCTTCCCTCCTCCTCCTCCTCCTCCTCCTCCTCCTCCTGTGCTGTCTTGTTTCTCCCACGCTGGTTGACATGTCTTGTCCTTCCTCCTCCAAGAGTCCTGTTCTTCTGATTCCCTACTCCTCCTCCTCCTCCTCCTGTTGCACTGTCTTATTCTTTTTTCCCTTCCACTGTTTCCTTTCCTTCCCCTCCTTTGGCGTCATGTTCTTCTTCTGCTTCTTCGTCCTGCACCCCCCTTTCCCTCTTCTGGCGTCATGTTCTTCTTCTGCTGCTTCGTCCTGCACCCCCCCCCCCCCCCCCCCTTGTGTTACCGTATGAATGCTAAGTACATGCGCGTTCAATACCCCCGCGCGTGCGGCGCCGCGTGGGGACGCACGGGGAAAAAATGAGCACGCGCGCGAGGCTGGGGCGCGCACGGTGGGGTCTACGTGTGGGCCTGTTCCGTTTGTGTGGTTTGGGAGTGGGCATTGGGTGGGCTCAGGGGGTATTGGGGGGGGGGTCAAGGGGGTATTGGGTGGGTCAGGGGGTATTTTGGGGTCAGGGGGTATTCGGGGGGTGAGGGGTTATTGTGCGGTGTGGGGAGGAGGTATTACGGGGGGTGAGGGGGGGTATTTGGGTGGTGGTGTTTTTTTTTTTTTTTTTTTTTTTTCCCTCCCCCCCCCGTTTGTTGGGCCCCTGGTCCCTCCTACACCCCGAATACCCGCCCAACATCCACTCCCAACCCCCCGCGCGCACCAGAGACCGAACCATGGAATTGAACTCCCCCTTCGGTCGTGTTCATTGAATGCGCATCCAATCCGTTCAAATATTGAACGGAAAACCCGTGTTCAATGAACGCGCGGTTTCATAGCGCGCCCCCCCCCCCTTCTTCCATACTCCTGGACAAGCTTTGTTCTTCCTCTGCTTCTCCTCCTCCTCCTCCTCCTCTGCTGTCGTATTCTTCTTCTGCTTCTTGCCCCCCTTCCTGTCTTGTTCTTGTGCTTTTCCTCCTCCTCCGCCATCTTCTGCTACTTCCCCCCCCTTCTATTTTGTCACTATCCTCCGCTTCTCTTTATCCTCCTCCTCTGCAGTTTTTTTCTCTTCTCCCCCTCCGAGGAGTCCTCCCTGTTGGTATTTCGGCGCCTAGCAATTGTGCTGGCTGTTGTTCGATGTGCTGCCTATGTTGGTAGACTCGAGTGCGGCTCTCCAAGGAATTCACAGCAACAATTTTCCCTTGTCAGGGAGATCACTGCCCTGCAAATGTCATCCTTCACCCGGCGTCATGCACTCGCAAATTGTATCAGACAGTTCTGGCCAAGCACCATGTAACGGTCACAGTTGTATGTGCCTTGTGTGTATTTACTATTTAGCACTAGTACCAGAAGAGCAGCCTTCCCTACCCCTCTCCCCCCTTTGCCACCTTTCCTTCCGTTGTGCATTTCTTTCTTTCTTTTTCTTTTTTTCTTTCTTTCAGAATCTTTCTTTCTTTCTTTCAGAATCTTTCTTTCTTTGTTTTTTTTCCCCTTTTTCTTAAATAAAAAAAACAGAACCTTACGGTTTCGACTCCATGCCCATTCTGGCTAGCATCGGTCCGGTTCCTTTGCCTTGTGCGTTTCTTGTTTCTTTTTCTTTTTCTTCCTCTTTCAGTTTTGCGAAAGGTAAGAGGGTGACAGAACTAGATTACCCATGTTCTTATATTCTTTTCTTTTTCTTTTTTCTTTCTTTTTTTTATACATAAAACAGGTCCTTATGGCCCTGATGTTCTTCTATTCTCTAAAGTTTTTTTTGGGATTTTTATGCCTCTTGTGGGTTGCTTTGTATTCTGTGCAGGCGACCCGTAAAGAAAACCCGCTCATTTCGTTCGCGGAAATCGGCAAGGCCATCGGCGAGAAGTGGCAGTCAATGTCAAGTAAGTTTTCATCTTATCGCCCACTCTATTGTGAGCGTTCAAAATCCCATCCTTTTTTATTTGTGATTGTCTTCTTTTCTTTTCTTTTCTTTTCTTTCTTTTAAAATCCCCAGTACCTCGGATCCTCTTTTTCCCGATGTGGATTTGCACTGTGCTCCAAAAAAGAAAAGGACGAACCGCCAGCGGCGCTTTTTCTTTTCATTGTATGCCTGCCGTTTTGGTCTGGAAGCGCTTTTCATTCAAAGAATGAGGTGATGGGACTCTAATTCTTCGCAGAAGTTTCCCTGGGTGAGGGACTGGTGGTTTAGTGTGGTTAAGTGCCCCTGCGGAAAACAGTCTGGATTTCAGTATGTTATTAACTTGTTAATAGTTATTATTGCAATGAATATGAGTGTGAGCGACATACAGAAAACCAAGTTGCGAAATCACACAGATGTCCAGGTAGTCGTATCCAAGTAGAGAGTACAAATTGCACCGAGAAACCATCCATATAGAGCAATACAATGAAGTAATGAGCCAATGTTCAAGCCTGTAGGCCACACCAACACAGTATCCAAAGTCGCTCCGCTCTGTCTGGCGCCCCAGCGCCCAACCTACTCTACCCGACTATCCTACCTACAGCTAGCTGGTTCACGCAACAGGCTCACTTCGCCTCTCGAAGACCAAATTACAAATTATGTACATGACTGTCAACACCATAGCCGACCTCTCTGCATGCACCAGGTACGTATCTCGTCACCCTCAGTCAGACCTTGATTACCCCACACTGCGCCTCCTTCCCTGAAGACCACCAGATCGCCCGCATTAAGTGGTTTGCTGGGGCCTTAGTCCAGCACATGTGATGTCTGATATGCAATTCATGTCATTTATGCTTTACACTGTTCACAGGTGTTTTTTATTTTCAGTTTAAAAAGGAACAAACACTTCCGGTGCACCTGCGTGTATTTTCTTGTCTTGAATCTGGCAGCTGAATATGGTCAGATTCGTCCAAAAAAGCCCGAGTGTGAATATGCCCTTGACAGGCCAACTCAATCAATTACCAAGATGTGCGAATGTAACTCGCCGCAGAGGTCCAATGCGTTACTTCCAATTCTTTCTCTATCTCCTCCCTTTGTTATCTCCTGCCCCTCATGATGAGGTGGGGCTGATGTTTGCATTTCTTGATTTGTCGTGTGTTGGTCGAGCCTCTGCGCTTGATGACTCACTTGTCTCCCCTTCACCATGGACCTCCCCTCCACGCCAGCTTGATCGTGTTTCCTTCGAAAGAGCCGAGCCGACCTTTCCCTCCCCTAATGGGTCTTTCATGAACTTGTCCATAATCTCCTGCCTTTGTCCATAATCTCCTGTCTTTTTTCCATGTTCTTTTTGTTCTTCCTCTACCAGTCCTCGTGACACTCGGTGTCCATTATCCATCACCAGCAACAAGCCCTCCGAAGCCTCCTCCTGTGTGACCTGCTGCTTCTCGAAT